AATGAGAGCTTCATTTGTGTAAATGAGTGCAAACAGAGTGGCCTAAAATTCCTTGAGTGTATACACGTGAGAGAGTGTTGTGAGGTCCTTTGTATTTCCATAACGTATTTTTTGCAGCAAAGTTTCACAAATAGATTCGAGGACGAATCCTCTTGAAGAAGTGGAGAATGATATGAACCAAGAGACATCAATCATACAATATGCTTCAATGAAGATGTGGAGAAAAGGTTATCAAAATAATCAAAAGATGTTTCAATTCATGCTACATTGAAGAAGAATAAAGTTTGATTGTTGTAAATTTTGGGTGGGTTATAATTTAGAGTTATTGTGTTTTAAGACTTTTTATTTAATTTCGGTTACATTTACATAATGGCTAATTATGGCCATAAAGTGTGAATGTTACAACTTTTAGAATGCCTTTATATAGCCTCACCACATGGATGAAAATCTACCCAATAATTTATGTGAGCAACTTGAAGCCTTATCACCTTGACCCGGACGACGACCAGCGAAATGTAATCACAAGACCGAGCATCGATCTGAAACAAAGAGACAACAAAGAAATAGAGGAGATCCTAGCCGACATGGTTAGGAAGATAGGAAGACCCGTGTACGGACGATACGTGAATTCCTTGTCAAATGGAAGAATCTCCATATGGAGGAAACCAGTTGGGAACGCGCTGAAGATCTGGACTCCGCCGCCACTCACATCGCCAGGTTCGAAAGTAGTCGGTTGACAGGGATGTCAACCAATTAGGTTGGAGAGGATGTCACGATCATGCTCGTCCAAGGCGTGTTGCCCATGGCTGCATGCCCATGACAAGCCCAACCCTTTTATGACTACTGTGCCTGTCAGACATGAAATGTCTCAGAATATACTATAAGAGGATACGACTAGTTGTCAACTTCTCCCTACCCAAGGTTATTTTTTGTAGAGCAGGAAAGTTTATATACGATAAGTGCCCGTACCTTACGTGTATTTTCACACTTAGCGTTTTCTTCTACTCAAACCTGAGACCTGTGTGTTGTTAGGTCAACGCTCTAACCACTTGAACTATTCAACTTGACTATTGATAAAGTTGGCTTCTCCGCAATAATATACCACCGATGGCTACGAAAAGTAAAAGGAGAGAGAGATTTGCTGAAGACTGGATGATAGATTTCCCATTCAGTTGAATACTCTAAATAACTACTTTAATCCTAAAAATGTAAAGTAGTGGGCAAAAACTTGGGCTCAAAGTTGTACGCTCTTCCATTCAACGGGAGAGCGTTAATTCAGATTTTTCAAAAAGTAAAAAACAACTAACGAAATCTAAGGAAACCATAGCTTTTATTTAACAATAATATGAATTAGAGTGTTGAAAGGACGAAGATGATAAGAGGATTCACAAGCCATAGACAAGAAAAGATCACGGTTGTTAAACCGAAAGGGCTCTGATACCATGTGAATATTTGCTGAATCCACCACGAGATGGTGAGAGTTCTCTTATTTATAATTATTTACCGAATAAAGAAATATGGTAAATAATAAATAATATGGAAATAACAATAAAAGGAAAGAATAATAAATTAATACAATATATTTGTTTTTAATAAAAGGGCAAATATAATAAGCTGTAATGTAAGACAAATATCTAGATATTTTCCGTATAATGAACGGTCAACTATCCTTAACAACATTATCATATAACATAATTACATCGTCATTTAACATCATCATGACACATATAACATCATCACATCATCATATAACATATCACGCCATCATATAACATCATAACATTATCATTAACGTCATCACTTCATCATATAACGTCATCACACCATCATTTAACGTCATCATATCATCATATAACATTATCACATCATCATATAACATAATTACATCATCATATAACATAATTACATCATCATATAACATAATTACATCATCATATAACATAAAGCATAAATGACAAGTGCAAGGGCCACTGAGCATGTGTCGTCATACATAACATAAGTCTTCCAACTAAGTCGATAGTAAGACCACTTGCCTGATTAGCTTAAACTGGTGTTACAAATTTATCCTTAATCCAAGTCAACCTATGTGAGCGCATAACATCAATTTCAATTTCAAAATTTTGTCAAACTATTTCGCTAAGTTTTATAGTGGTCCATGTGTTAGACTTAGCATTAGACACTTTGCATGGAATGTTTATATATATATTATTTTTATTAAAAATCTCATTTTCTGTGGTTATGTCTAGGGATATAAACCTACTAACAATTTAATATTATTCTTGACCTTTCCTTAGCTTTTCCTTCTATTTTTAATTTTGTTCATAGTTATTTATTTTATTTTTTATTATTGTTATTATTATTATTATTATTATTTTTTTTTTTGCCAATTTTAACAATTCTTACTTTTTCTCTCAAGGAGAAACTCAGAGAAAATTCTTTCAAAATGCTTGTCATTTAATTTCTAATGGAAAAGGTAACTAATTGCAAATTTGATTCCATCAAAGAAAAAAAAAAAAAAGGTAAAATATGACTACTAACCTCTTCAAATCTTCAAATGACATCTATCCTTTCATTAGTACAAACCTTTTGTTTTCCTATTTTGTTTTTTTTTTTTAGAATGACTGACAGGTATGTGAGGAGTTGGTTGAGTATTCTATGGGAGGAATCCGTGTGAGAGTTTGGGGAGGGATGAAATTAGTTATTATTAATTAATTAATTAATTCTTTTTTTTGTACCATTGTTGGAGGAATGGGACCACAAAGGTTGACATAATTGTTAGTCGGCACAAGAGGGTCGTCCCAGACTAGAGTGACTTTATAGTTCTATAGAAGGATCTGCCAACTAACCTTCCATGGATGATGTTCAGATTTGTAGACACCATACTGTCATACCAGGCTATTATAAAGCAGTGCCTCAACCTAAAACGTCGATCATTCATTGTGTAAGAAAAGCAAGCTACCTAAGTCAAATAACAGAAAGGTTGGAAAACCTTTACATACTCCTAGGATTAAGATTCAGCTTAGAGATCTGATTGGAACTTCGAGGCCTCCCTACATGCTTAGATAATAGTAGAGACTAAGCCTAAACTTCTTAGAACATAAAGAAAAGTTTGTGAGTACCTATTAGGTGAAGGATGCAACGAGAGCCTACAAATAGATTGAATAGCCTACAAATAGATTGAATATTTTTATACTCACTCATTTTCTCATTTATTTTCACGTGGTGCGTTGAAGTGAGGAACATTGGATCATTCCATCAGACTTTTTTAAGTTAATCTGTACTAAACTCAAAATTTGAATAACACAAAACTGCTTCCTCCTAGCAAAACTAATATTATTTGTTGAGGAAAAAAAAACCTCTAACTTCTAACGCAAGCATAAACATAAAACTTTTTCTCTTAAAAAAAAAAAGAAAAAACTCAATAATTACACATAAGTCTCTCTCAAACTCCAATTAAAAAACAAAAATCATAAAAAAATAAAATAAAATAAAAATAAATAAATAAATATTAAATAAAAAGTATGGTTAATTCATGTGAATTTGTGTACCCCAATCTCTTAATTAATTCATGTGAATTTGTGTACACGAATCGCTTGAAATTAATAGTTAATTAATGTGAATTTGTGTACACGAATCTCTTGAAATTAATAATTTACAAACATATAGATATTTTATACGTGGGACAGACGATGAGAACAAAACACTTCTGGTAAGGGTTTGGAAACCTTCCCCTAACAGATACGTTTTAAAGCTTTGAGAGAAAGTCCGAGAGAGAAAGCCCAAAGAAGACAGTATGTACTAGCGGTAGACCTCGGCCGTTATAAATGGTATCTGGCAGAACCAGACATCGGACAATGTGTCAGCCTTCTCGCTGTTCCTCGAAGAGGGGTTGACACGAGGTGGTATGCCAGTAAAGACGCTGGCCCTAAAGGGGGTGGATTTGGTGGCGGTTCCACATCGATTGGAGAAAGGAACGACTGCCAGCGAGGACGCTGGGCCCCGAAGGGGAGTGGATTGTGATGTCTCACATTGGTTGGGGAGGAGAACAAAACACCGTTTATAAGGGTGTGAAAACCTCCCCTAGTAGACGCGTTTTAAAGCTTTGAGGAGAAGTCCGAAAGAAAAAGCCTAAAAAAGACAATATCTTTTAGCGGTGGACCTAGGCTGTTACATTACAGTTATCTTAACCATTTCTATATAAAAACGCTCTCAATTTAGGTCAGATTTTTCTTACAGGAAATTATGCAATTTATAATAATAATAAAAGAAAGAAGTATTCGAATATTTGTATAATTTTCTAAAAGTCCATTTGTTTACACAACAAAAGGTAAGATTTTTCTCCACCAACCCTTTATCGTGGAAACTTGGCCAACCTTAGCTGACTCACCTACCCAAGGACACCTCTTTTAATTTTTAAATGCTTCTATTTTATATTCTCCACTCATTTATTTTCTTAACTTTTTCCCCATATTTTTTTAAATTGGAAAATAATATTCATTCATATGAAATATATAGAAAAAAAAAAAGGTATAATCTAGCGGTGGGTTAAGTTTTAAATAAAATTAATTTTTAATTTAGTCCATAATTACCCATTGAATCATTATTTTGACTCAACTCATATCCTCAATTTGGTTTAAGATTATGTATAGTCTCAAGTCAACTATGAATTAAATAATTGATTTATATATAATAAATATTAATTGATTTGACGTAATTTTAAGAGTAGGTTTGAAATTAATATTATATTTGGAGTTGTGTAAGAAGAAAGACTTAATTTTAAAGTCAAATTTCAATTATAAAAAACCGATGCCATTTTCTTTGGTGGGTAATTGGTGTAATGTGCATTTTCATACACAACTCAAATATGGCGCAACCACAACACATTTCCAACAAATTTCATTTACTATATTTGGTCAAAAAAATGCATCTTACAATATTTTAATTAATTTCCCATCATATTCTTTTTTAATGTAAACTAAGATTATTTTAAGTGTCACAAATTTTGGATATTAAACTTGTGGGAAAGATCAATGCTGAAGTTGGGAGGGAAGAGGAAGGTGACCCTTTTCTTGTAAGCTCTTCACTGTTTCATATATGCATTGTGTGATTGGTGTGAACTCCATTCCCAATGACTTCAATTTCTCAACCCTGTATTTATAAGGCTTCTTTCTCGGATTCACCTCATCAGAACACCTACACAAATTTCACCAAATACAACACATTATTCTCAATAATCAAAGCGCCTCCAACATGTGAGTATCTATGAGGAATCGAACTTACTTGGTTGGAAGTGGATATTGAGGGAACAACTTAGCAAGAACATCAACCAATTCTCCACGATGAAGCATGCTCTCAACGCATATATATCTGCCTGAGGCTGACGGAGTTTCATAAACCAACACATGGGCTTTGGCCACATCCTTAACATCAACATATCCTTGAACTGCATTTACATATGTCTTGGCTGACCCTGTCAAGTACTTCATTATATGAACCACGCTCGCATTCACACCCTCTTGTAATAGAGGCCCCAATACCAACATTGGGTTCACCACTACTAAATCCACTCCTCTTTCTTTTGCAACTTCCCATGCTGCCTGCTCTGCTATTGTCTTCGCATAGCAATACCAATTCTGTACATAATTTCCACACTTTAATTTCATGTATTTTTATAAATTTGCTAATTTTTTCTTAGTTAATTAAAGGGTTTTTTTTTTATGTTACCTTGGTGTTCTTGCAAAAGTCAAGATCACTCCAACAAGACTCATCCACCACCGTGTCGGGGCTACGGTTAGGGTTCATGTAGACGGTGCCGATGGACGATGTGAACACTACTCGTCGAACTTTTGCTTCTGCTGCGGCGGTCATGACATTCTTAGTTCCAATTATGGCTTGTTCCACCTTTTCCTGTTAATCGATGTGAGTTATTAATGTTATTCAACATGGACAATGTAACGATCCAAGCTCGCAGCAACTAGCAGATATTGTCCTATTTCGACTTTTCAATTTAGGTTTCCTTTTTAAAACGTGTTTAAGGAGAAGTTTTTACATCTTTATAAAAAATGTTTCATCCTTCTCTCCAACATACCTAAAATCTTACCCAAAATAAAATAAGAAACAAATAATATTAAACCATAAAGAGAGAGAAAATGATGAAGTGAAGTTCTTACGGGGTCATCGGTGACTGGAGAGGCAGTGTGGAAGACACCATCGCAGCCCATAATAGCTGCTTTGAGGCTTTCAAAATCAAGAAGATCAGCGCTATACAAAGAGAGACGCTCATTAGCTCCATCCAATTGCTTCAAATGAGCATTCTTTTGATCATCTGGGTTTCTAACAGTTCCTCGAACAGTGTAGCCCTTCTCAAGAAGAAGCTTTACAAGCCAAGAAGCAATGAAGCCTCCAGCGCCGGTGACGCACACAATTTGGCCGGAAACTGCAGCGGAGGTATCGATCGGCATAGTGGCGGATATGAATTGGATTGTTTGGTTTGGGTTTGGGTTCAGATGGATGCACAAAAAGGAGTGGAACTTGGGCTGCTTTTAAAGGACAAGAATTCACCTACCTCAACTTAAAAAAATTGAGCACATGTTGATGTTAATTCAAAATTGATACTTCGGGCTCCTATTATTGACTATATTTGGGTCAAAGTGAGACCTCAACAACCAACGTGCTTCAGCAAACTTCCATGAATCCTCTCTCTCTATTATAACAATTTCAAAACTTTATTGAATGATTGTCTTGTAGTGACTGGAATTTCTGTGAAATTCATTGACACATATTCAAGATATATATTTTTTTAATTTTTCTTTCTATAAAACTATCCGTCATATTATAGATTCAATAATATTTTCTCAATTGGATGGTAGTGGGTGCTCCGATTTTGTATCAACTTTTCATTAGAGCTGATTAATTTATCAAATTTTTAGCGTGTTATTTCAAATTTGATTGGTTTGGTGTGACTCTGGTGGATATTGTTCATATTTTTCATGTGTCCGTGGGCATATTTTAAGCATTGATCTCTTCTTTCACAACTTAAAATTCAGTCCCCTAAGACGCTTAATAAAATCGTTCAAATTAAAATTAAATTGAAAAAGTTGGAGAATTCATTCTTGTCGAGGATCGAGTGTTACAAAATCTGAGCTGCATACCCAACACCTTCTCCAGGCTTCTAGAAATTTGGTGTAAGCCTTTCAACTCTTATGGGTACACTCTTATCATCAGTACCAAGGATACTATTCTCTCTATTCCATTGACACCTGTCACATACGCTAGATTTTTTAACTCTAGGTCGTACTCTTCGACCGTTCTGTCTCCCTGCTTTAGATCCAAAAATGCAATTTGGTTCTTAGTAATTCAAGAAGGATGCTTGAGTAAGGACCACATCACCTATCCTCCATTAGGTATGAACATCTTCTATGCACTTTTTTTACCAATGGTATGCTACACTTTTTAGCATGTAAATGACACAGTGTACTTAATATTCGGTATGACAATTCATATACTGAAAGGTCATTTCTATAGCCTCCAACCGCACCTCAGCTACCTAATAGGTTAACTTTTCCCTTTTAAGGTGGGATTGTATAGTCATTCTCTTTGATTCATTGGAAGCTTAGGCAACTGGGCTGCCATCATTGTAGTAATAGGCTAGTTTGGGTTTACAGAGTGAACCTCATAAATGACTGTAGAGCCTCTTAGGTTGCATTGGTGGTACCTCTGAAGTTGGGATGGATGCCTAGAAGATCTCTTTAATTACTTCTTGGGATCTATTCTGCTTAGCCTAAGGATTTAGCCTAAGGATTTTGTATTGTGGTGCCAATCACAATGTTCTTTCCGCCTCTTTCGAGTTCTGAACGGTCAATCACTACTTTTCTCTTTCGAGCCACTTGTCTATCAAAAGACAAGAAGCTCGAATTACACTCATCCTAACAATTCACTCAAGAAAGCCTAAATAACAACCCATAGAGGTAAGTTTGTCATGAAACTTACAAATAGATCAAATTCACACTACGTACGTAGTATAAATTGATTGCATTGATACGAATTTGTCACAACCCGATTTTTGATGCTTTGATCTCAAAATGTGACGAAAAAGACATAAAACTACGATAAATTTTGCACATTTTAAAAATCAAACATCATATTTAAAAGACAAATTGAGATATAAATTTAAATGATAAACTCTAAAATACATAATGGACGGACGCCTTGGGACAAGCCCTTCCATGAATGCGTATTTCCGGAATGCTTCTCTACCTTGACTAAAAGTCAGTAAACACCTAAAAATAAAAAAGTAGAATGTGATGAATATACACCTAGTGAGTAAGCAACCAACTTATAGTCACTTATCCCATCCTTATTTCTACCATATAATTATTTATTATCCGATTTATTTTTCAAGATAAATTATCTTATTTGTAATTTGTTGAAGTCTTAAATAGACCCTACCCACTCTAGAGTTTTTCATCCAACACCATAAATTTTTTCCTATATGTTTCCTCTTTTGTTTTTTATCTAGACCAATGGTATGATTTGTGTGATTCTAATAGTATGATAGTTGTTAAATTTTCTTTTACACCATGGGTTCATTGTTCGACGTAACTGAACTAACTTTTTTTTGACTTAGTAAGTTGATAGGACAATATGATGTCTCTCTCTAGACATATATATAAGCTTAACTAGCACCCTTCCACAATATCCACCACAGAATCATAAGTTTAGAAGCAACTCCACGTGCCGCCCAGCTACTAAGTTTATCTGTGTAGGCCCTTGCCTCCTCTAAGGACAAGTTTATAGTGCACTGACCTCGTTCAAAGAGCCCCTTACTATTTTCACATATCATAGTGTAATTCATTATGAGCTAAATTACCTATGATTCCTCATCTCTTCTTAGGACGGGTTTACGGGATCATGGCCTTGGCTCTCAACCCATTTCTATGCTTAATAGTTATTTATAAAATAGCCCCAACATGCCTTCCTATTTGACCTTAGACAAGCTCAACCATACTAGTTCCTGAATGACTACCGTTTTGGCATGATCTAAGTCACCAAATAGTGCTACTGAGGTACCAGAGAGAATAGAAAGTAGTCTGACTTTGGTCAATACCATTCATATGGTCTGACTTTGGTCGATACCATTCATACGGCTAGTGGGCATGGTAGACTTTTTTAGCTTTCCTTAGATGTCATGGAGATTAACTAGGTTCTTAAGGCATCTAGACGATCTAAAACTCGATCTGTCTTCTCTAATGTAGCAAAACAAGTTCAACGGGGAGATAACATCCATCGATCACATGGAGTACAAGTCATAATAGTCCATCCTCCTTTCTAATGCAGCAAAAAACATATAAACAACATTCATCATAAATCACATCATTACATATTCATCCATATTGCCAAACTTGTATTCTTGTCATGCATATTCTCTTTCTAGTTTTGTATAATACATAAAGCAACATGCTTTTCAAAAATCTCAACCTAAGGCATAACTGTAATTTTACTATAACATACGTACAGTACATACTCATCCAAAAACATCCTTTTGAAGTACTTAACATGCCTTTTCTAACCACCTAAGGTAACAAATGCTCGTACATTAGCACTTCCTAGCAATCCCTACAAGTATTACTTGCCTAAAGTCTGTGTAGATACTTAGATGATGTGTGTTGTACCAAGTTAGTTTTTACGTGTGTTATGGTGTAACGCTTAAAAAAAAAAGTTGGTCAAAGTCAGAGAGGTAAAAGGGGCATTTTTGACCTTCAGCCCATTATATGGGTCTTGAGGATTTTCCACAAAACACTTGCAAAATAGAAAAGAGAAAGAACAAAAAGTTGAGAGAAAAACTTAAGAGTTGAAACATAGCAAGCTGGACTTCTCATTGGAAAACCATCATTGAAGTTCACTCTCGACCAAGACTTACACGCAGGAACTCCTTCTTGAAGAAAATGAGGACTCGTGTAGTCGAAGTTTCCTTTTCCATCAAGATCCGAGAGGAATCTATAAGGTAAGATCTCCTAACGTTTTTCTTCAGATCTGAGATTTTTCTTTGTGAATAGAGTGCTAAAGTTTTGATATTTTCATCGAGGGAAGATCCACAGCTGATTTTGTGATGAAATTTGGCCGGAAACGTTGAGATCTAAGAATTCTTCCAAGAACGGTAAGAGTGCTAACGGGCCTCCTTTTGACCCTTGTAACTCTTGTATGGTTAGGCAAAAATCAAGAAAAAAAAAATACTAGCACATAGTTTGTAGTACAATCTTCACTAAGAATAAACCTAACCCTTCCCCTAGGAGTCTAACAAACCACCACTACACAGGAACTGGCAGACCGCCCCATGGCGGTACTACTAATCGAGGAAGAGTCCCAGGACAGAACAATAATTATTGTCCTAAGCATCAGCGCCCTCACCAGGGGAGTGTCGAGCAGGAACTGATGCATGCTATAGTTGTGGCCAAATAGGTCACTTTGCAGCAAACTGTGCTCAAAAGAGAGATCATGACACTAACAATTAGGTTTTGACAGAAGAATAATTAAGCCAGAAACATAAACAATTGAAGTTTGAAGTGATGATATTATTGAATACTTAACTTCGTCGTTACCAATAACCACAAACCAATCTTGAAAAATATTTAAACTAAATAGCTAAAAATACTATAAACCTAATCAAATTCTTCTAACAATCCCTTCCTTAAACTTATTCTTCTTTGTCAAGAATTAGTTTAAGTCAGAAAAACTCTGCACACCAAGTTATTCACACAACTTCCAAAATGCTTCTAATTTTAGAGGCTTTGTCAACAAACCAACAAGTTGATTTCGGGTACTACAAAATAATAAATTAACAGTTCCTTCTGTTGTAAGATCTCTAAGAAAGTGAAATCTTACTCTTATGTGTTTGGAACGTCGTAGAAATGGATTTTTGGATAGCTTAATAGTTGAAGTATTATCACACATTAGCTTTGTTTATTCTATTTGAGAGTGACTAATCTTTTTGAGTATTCTCCTCATCTAAACAGCTTGACATGCACAAGCACTAGCAGTAACAAACTCAGCTTATGTGGTTGATAAGGTGACGATAGTGTTAGGATCGCATAACAACGCACACGCTCGATCTAGATGAACACAAAGAACAGGACAGAGAAAAGTACAAGGAGAACTCTGGCTAAAAAGATTTTTTTATTGATGAGTTCACGTATGTACAGTAAGAGATAATTACAGAGAATAGAAAGTACATTTTCAAAGCTTTACTGGACGGGATATATATATAGTTCAGTTTACTATATATAGCTTTACCAGATTTAACCATCTACTATATATAGTTATTTACTATATATAGCTTTACCAGATTTAACCATCTACTATATATAGCTATTTACCATATATAACTTTACCGGATATAACCGTTGACCAAGCTATAAATAAGCAACAGGCTCCATAACCTAACAATTCTCCCACTTGGAGACTGATCTAGTCAACCAAGAATTTTATTCTCAAACGACCATGAGCATCTTCATGGCACCATATCAATTGAGG